GAGGGACGCGTCTTCGGCTGTGGCAATGAGGAGGAGTTGGTGGTGGTTGGCGGGAGAGGGGGCTCCGGTGGCTGCTTAGTGTTGTGCGTGGTGGTTGTCGGGGCTGGGGTCCGGGCAGGGAGCGGCTATCCTGGTGTACCTCTTGTTGGGTTGATTGGGATCCGGTTTTTCTGAGTCGGGCTAGTGGTGTTAGCCTAGCTCGGATAGTTCCGGTTGGGGCTGCTCGGCCTGGTCTCCTCGGTCAGTGGCTTTCATCCTCTGGGTTGGGTTCGGGGGCGAAGTCCCGCTTCGTGTTAGGCCTTCGGCAGTTTCCGGTGTTGGGGCTTGGCTAGGGGCCTTTCCTAGAGTCGGTTGTTGCTGCTTTTTTGGCTTTTTCAGATCTCCGGGGGAGGGTTGTTTAGTTTTTTATTTTTTGTTTTCTAGTTTGTTTTGTAGGTTGTCCTTTTAGGATTGTGTTTTTTGTCTGGGCCGTTGGCCCCTGTGAGCCTGTCTGCGTACGGGTGTTTCCTCGTTTGGGGCCGTTCCACATTACCTCGTTTGGGGTCGTTCCACATCACCTCGTTGGGGTTGTTTTATTTTGTCAGGGTCATTGGTTCTTGTGTTGGTGTTTGAGTCGTTTTCTTTCTAGCCTTGCTAGCGTTTCTAGGCGGACCTTGGTCTAGCCTTCAAGTTTGTATTTCCGCACATTTGTGCGCTTATCTATAGTTCATCTATCGTTCCGTCCAAAAAAAAAAAAATCTAGCCCTTAGGGATTGCTTCTTTACAAATATTATTTATATTTATTATTGATATTGGATATTGATTATTGATAATTGATAGGTTTTTTTTACCATTATTATGGAAAAAAAAAATTGATATAGTTAGTTGTTAGTGTCCTTTTAATTTTGTATTATTTAAATAAAATTATCAAAATTGATTTGATGTATAAGTAATAAAATTGTTTCGATGTAAAAATCGAAGATAGATAATTGAAAGTAATAAGTAATTAAAATTATGTGAGCGTATGAATACTGAAGGGAAGTTGATGTAATGTGTAATAATGATTAATTGATTTTCAATTATATTAATAATATGATGACAGTTGGGTTGAGTTAACGAGGGATCTCATTGTAATGTTAGATAAAATAAAAAAAATTATATTATATTTACAGTAATCATCTTGTGCATATCCACATATTATATAATAAAATAATATAAACTTTATATATATAAGTTAAAAAATATTTAAAAGCATGTATCATTTTTATAATTGAATTGTTACATTAACTACTCCTAGTTAAAATTTTAAATTTTATAAATAAAATATAAATGTGGAATTTATCATATATTAATGATATTTATACATACTTTGAGTATTATAATAATAATTATAATCTTAAAAGTAAAAAATAATATAAATTTAAAATGGAAAATATAATATATTTTGTATTTATCTTTTAAGATAGTTATCGTATTAATTATATTACTGATATAATGTTATAATAAAATACATACACACTTTGAATTTTTTCATCTAATAATTGTTCATGTATAATTTGATTCTTATATGTTCAGCATTTTTATTAACAAAAAAAAATAAAAAAAAAAATTGCCTTTATATAAACATGCATTACTAACCTACAAATTTAGAAAGGAATTCTATTAATTTTTTCTTTATAGAGAAGTGCATGAAATTAATAATGGCATCCTTGCAGAGGAGAAACTAAACATAATTAGGATTGTGGACTATTTTTATAAATTTATTTACTTAGAGAAAATCGATATATACATATTACTTCTAAATAATCGTCTTCAAAGGCGATTTTGTTGTATTATTCAAGATGGCTAAAATTAAGTATGAATAGTTAGAAGAACAAATTTTAAAATTAGTTTTTAACCTAAAGTAGAGATATATAATAATAATATTGAACGGTTACATGAAAGAAATATTTTTTATTATTTACGAAAACAACAACATGCATAATTAAGTTAATTTTTGAAACATAATCGTTACAGTCTTTATGAATATTATAACTTTAATGACGTAAATACAAAGAAAAGAAAAGAAAACTTACTAAAAAATTGATTAGTTGGATAATTTTTTCCTTTGTAACAAATGAAGAGCCTACAATTATATATATGCATGTAATTGTAGGATCATATGAGAGAGGGTCATAGTAAAATAAATAAGAATGAATTGTACAACTAGACTATTTTTATAAATTTATTTACTTAGAGAAAATCGATATATACATATTACTTCTAAATAATCGTCTTCAAAGGCGATTTTGTTGTATTATTCAAGATGGCTAAAATTAAGTATGAATAGTTAGAAGAACAAAATTTAAAATTAGTTTTTAACCTAAAGTAGAAATATATAATAATAATATTGAACGGTTACATGAAAGAAATATTTTTTATTATTTACGAAAACAACAACATGCATAATTAAGTTAATTTTTGAAACATAATTGTTACAGTCTTTATGAATATTATAACTTTAATGACGTAAATACAAAGAAAAGAAAAGAAAACTTACTAAAAAATTGATTAGTTGAATAATTTTTTCCTTTGTAACAAATGAAGAGCCTACAATTATATATATGCATGTAATTGTAGGATCATATGAGAGAGGGTCATAGTAAAATAAATAAGAATGAATCGTACAACTAGACGTGATATATTTGGTTAAAGGAGCTGTGGCATTCCTATAACTATGTGGACTTTCGATTTTTCACGATGAGGTACTTTAATCATTGCGCAAAATACACTGTTACGTTGGTATTCATTTTGTCAGACATTAATGTGCACTTAATATAACACTATTATTGTGCATTCTGCAACATAATTTTTTAATGTGCATATGCACACAAAATATTGTGCACTTTATTTATCAATATTGTGCATTTATTAAATATTTGATAAATTACATATTTGACCCATGGACTAAATTGTAATATAGTTAAAATTTCTAAAATTGCATGTAAGTCCTTGGAACTTATCAAAATTTCATAACCCATCCCCTCCAATTAACCTGGTACAGCGTGTGAAATTATGATAATGTGTGACAAATCCTCCCCAATGGCTATCAGTACGACGACGGGATTTAGACAGGGCGACAAAAAAGAAGGTGCTGGTGGCGGCGGGGATGGGAGTGTGCAACAGCAAATTTGGACGAAGCGGCTGAGGAGGAAAACAACGGTGACGACTGCGGTATTTGGAAGGTAGCAGCGATAGGAGTGTGCAACAACTGATTTGGGGGTGGATGAGAGGAAAACGATGGTGGCGGCGACGAGATTTCAATAGGCGGCGGTAATGGAGTGTGCAACGGTGGACTTGAACGGGGCAGGCGAGGAGGAAGACGACGGTAGCAGCGACAATATTTGGAAGGCAGCGGCAAGAGTAAGCAACGGTAGAGGGTGATAAAGAGCAGGGAGGGAGTTACTTTGCTGATGTGTCTCAGGTTGTCGTCGGGTCGTGCCTGGAGTGGCGGGTCCAGGCGGCGGCCGTCGCTACCATCGTGGGCATGTTTGTGTCAGAGATGAGAGCGTGCTGCTGCTACTCTGTGTGTGTGTGTGTGTGTGTGAGAGAGAGAGAGAGAGAGAGAGAGAGAGAGAAGAGCTTGTGTGTTAGAGAGAGGGGAGAGGTGGGGCCCACACTCACGTGTGAGAAGAAATACCAAAAAATACCCTTAATGAATATAAAATTGCCTTTTTTTGTTGTTGGATTATTAGATTTGATGGCCAATATTTATTCTTATTGCTTTCATTGATAATCATTCTCATTTGAATCTCTCTCTCTCTCTCTCTCTCTCTATATATATATATATATATATCTCTCTTATATCTTATACAAAGAAGTTTGTGCCCTTCTATGGGCGACACGTGTCCATTTTAGTGCTCCTCTAAAGTTGACAAGTGTCCCCCTTTTTTTACATTTTTGCCACTGCACTGCATTGCATTTGTATGCCTTTTGTTTTTTTAATTGAATTTTTTTTTTTTGTTTTTTTAATTCAAACCGACTTAAACGGCCGCTGGTCAAAACAACCTTTTTCCTACTTTTGCAGAATTCTCGCACGCACGCAATCAATCTTTTCAT